GGATCCACTTTTCTCCCTTTCTTGAAGATAGGCACCACACTGAAAACTCCTGGCGCTCTGGTGTTGTGCCCGAAGACTGGAAGAAGGCCAAAGAGCCGTGCCAGAGGCTGGGCTACGATGCTTACCAGCTCCTTGAGTACCCTGGGGTGTAGACTGTCAGGGCCGGCTGACTTGAAGGTATCCAGCCTCTTAAGGTGTTCCTTCACAAGGTCAGCATTAAATGGAGGGCAGGGGATCTCCCTCACCTGGACCTCCCTGTCCCGCAGTGGGCATGGGCATCCCATGGGACTGATGAAAGACTGACGCAAAGTACCTATTTAATAGGTTGGCTTTTTCCTGGGCATCAGTTGTCAGTTGCCCCATCTGGTTCAGCAGGGGTCCAATGTTGCCCTTGCTTTTCCTCCGGCTCCCCACATATCTGAAAAAGGACTTTTTATTGTCCTTGATGCTTGAAGCTAGTTGGAGTTCAGTTGCAGCCTTGGCTTTCCTGGTTTGCTCCCTGCAGGACTGGACCAGTTTAAATCCAGGATATATATATGCCTGCCCAGTGAGTTTAAATTTGTAATGAATAAACCGCCATTACATTAGTCCTCTATTCTTAACCTCATTTGTGACTTCTATTCTGTCCCAATGCATTCAATGCCTTCCCAGTCCCAGTTCACTGGGGTCACTCTCTCTTCCTTCAGACATCTGAAAACTCATTTCTGTGCCATTCAATAACAGAGAGAATATGGGGGGCAGGGCGTGGAAATCAGAAGCCAGACCCTCCAACCTATTTGTTCCTGGATGTATCCAAACACATTCTGTACTTGTGTGTCCATATCCAAGAATGAAGCACTTTGGGACAGGGGCCATCTTCAACCAATGTCACAATCTCTGTAAGTGTAGCTGCTGAAAAATTTAATACTTCATTTGTTAAGAAAATGAGGCAGAAGGAATTTAAGTATGGGTCTTACTGGCTACATGGTACTAGGGGAGATGGAAAGAAATCAAGTTTAGTCTGATTAGAAGAAAACATTCACGCAGGAAAATATTAATAGGACATGCTCATTTCAGCTCCTGTCCTGCCCGAATTAGTGACTTGAGATTAAAAAAAGAAGTCTGTTTCAAAATCAGGCAAGACAAGGACCTGAACCCAGAACTCCCAAGGCCAATTACTAAATATGGTTTGTAGACTGATACACACCTTGCTGGACTGAAAAACTTGTGTTTGTCTGAACATGGATACTGATATCATTATTTGGGCAAAACATGCATACAACAGTTTCATTGTATATGCTAATGTAAAATAAAAACAAATGTTGAAACATCAACATTTACACCAAAATGAGCTTGTCATCCTCTGGTCAGCTCTCCTGGTAATGTGTATTGGCCTGTGGAATAACCTCCCATAAATGTAGTTTAAAAAAGTACTAGAGAAGAATACTAAAAACTGTATAGTAGGGAACAATCTTGCACTCAGAACAGTTAAACAAGAAAACTTTAGAAACTCTTTCCAGGCCCATCTCTACTATTTAACTTGTATATAGTAGCATTTCAGTTGCATTTACTCTAAATTGCTATATTCCTTCTAATTAAAGGAGCCCAAGGAATTAAAGACACACCCACATTTTCTGACTCAATTTAAGAGAAAAAAAAAAAAAAATCAAATAAGAAGGTGCATCTACAATGGTGCAACCTTAAATGAAGCATGTAAGAGCTACAGTATTGATGAAAAATAATACTCAGTCATGCTTCTGTTCACATATCCTCTTGCACTCAAGTTTTTTTTGATGCTTTTAATAGGGCATCACATTTATTTTACATTATTTAGTAAAACATTATAGTAAATAACATATACTAATTTAAAGTTTATTTAAAGTTGGATTTAAGACACAAACCATTTAACTGTTTTTAGAAGAAATATTTACTTTTAAATACAGTGTTTTAAATTCAAAGGAAAATGGCATAATGCAGATTGATCTCTGAAAGTGAATTGCAAGGATTTTGATGTAAGCAATGATATAAGTGGTACTGTAAGCTACAGAGACAGAAGCTGCCAAAAACATTAGAAAGGGTGTCTAGGCAAAAAAAAGGATAACTCTCTTAAAAGGAATATTTTTAAGAATGGCAAATTCCTTCATTGTAACAAATCTAGAAAGTGGCAGTAAAGGCCCTGCATAGTTTCCTGCAATTTTCCTAACTGAAAAATTTAAATTATTGTCACTCCTGTTTATTCTAACTGTGCAAAATAACTAGAACTCATTCGCTTTGATATTCCTTTGCTTGCTAGCCGAAGAGAATATCAAGTACTATACTACAGCACAATGCGCTGGCTTGTCTACCACAACCAAAGCTGGTAAGTGTTCATTTGGTCATAAAATTTGAGCCACCAGGATGTTAGAACATCTTTCAAATCATCTTAATGGTTTCAGGATGACTCTGTAGACTGGAGTCTTGGGGTATGCTCATCCATTTGGAGCCATATCCTGTGCTTTTCCCCCACTGTGAAAGACAAGATTAAGGATGAAGCAAGGCTACCTGTTATTTGCTGCCACAGTAGCTTTTCTTACTTGAGAAAAAAAGGAGGCAACATAATGCTCTTTTGAGATGCAGAAAATACAGATAATATGCAGTTACAGCAGTTTAGCACAGCAAGGGTAAATTGAATTGAACCTATGAAATTTTCCAATAGTTCAGTGAAGTTGGGGAGACGTAAAAGGATGACAGAGTGTAAGCATCTTTTTCCCCCCGCATTTATTGTAATAAGAACACATCTACAGAAGTGAGATTTAATTTAAGCCTTAAGAGAGACTTTAAAGGGTTTCCTGCCTGTCTTGATACAGCAAGAGTAAAACACATTATATAGACCTAAGTTAATAAACAACACTTAGAGTTAAAATAATGTTATTATAAACACTTTTAATCTGAGAGGAAATAATGGGGGTGGGGGGAGGTAAAAAACCCCACTTTACTTACGAATTCCCTAAACAAACATGGGTACATACAGTATCTGATAGTTGAAAGAAAAGTTTTGCTTTGTGGCCAGCTAAAGAGTGGGGCAAGCAGGGGAAGGAGGAATTTGTCCCTGCCAGTCCCTGTGTGTGCAGTTAAGTGCTCACTCCTCTCCTGTTGTACAAGAAGCTAAGGATAGGCATGTCCACGTCCAAAAAGGTAAATGTCATGGTTTCCCCTGCTCACGGGGGAGCTAAGTGCTTGTTCCTCCTTCCCCTGCTTGCCCCACAATGGCCAGCTAAAGTCTTTGAATAATGTTTTGAGCTGAAGCTGTTTAACATCTCTCTGAAAAAACATTTTATTTTGCTTGCTAAAAATATTATGGATATATATCTAAAAGTATCAGGAACAAAATAGTTTATAGAGAATCAACATACAAAAAGAACTTCATATGAAT